AGAGCTCAGGGCTCATGGATGCTGCTCAGAATGCTGCTGGTGCGACCCTGGAGGGGTCAGGGCTCACACTGAAGCCCGCACCCCTGCAGAGGGGCCGGGATCTGCTTTTCTCTCCTTTTCTTTTTGGGGTGTGTGTGTGTGTGTGTGTGTGTGTGCGCGCGCGCGCGCGCGCACGCACGCACGCGTGTTGGGGACTAATCCCAGCCTTTCCACTACATCCCCACCCCTTCTATTATTTTTTAAATTTTTATCTTTGAGTCAGGGTCTTGCCAAATCACTAATTTCCCCAGGCTGGCCTGGAAGTTGGGATCTTCCTGCCTCAGCCTCCCGAGTGCTGGGATCATAAGCTTGCGCCTCCACACCTGGGTGGTGTGGTTTTTCAAGGCACAGATAGCAATTTCAAGGGGCCAATACCCTTATTTAATGCAAACAAATATTTGCCTCTCTTCTGCTGCCTTTTCTGGATCAGCTGTAATCTTCGCTGCATGGCTCCGAAGGCCCAGACTACTTGGGAAACCTCCGTTTATTTTGCTTTTGCTAAGCCCAGTGCTCCTTTAAATACATCCACAAATATGATTTAGAAGGGAAACTCCTTGTGGTGGAGAGCAGTACTACTCTCCAGGCCCAGGGCATGAGGTGGGGATGTAGCTCAGTGGTAGAGCGCATGCTTTGCATGTATGAGGCCCCGGGTTCGATCCCCGGCATCTCCAGTATTTTTCCTGCTGTCACTGCATACGCTTGGGGGCTTGGCAGCTGCTCAGAGCTAGGGTTTTAGTCCGGGGTGTGACTCCCTACTGGGGACCTTGATGTCTGTGGGGGACGGGAAATCGAGGCAGACCCGACTCTGGTGGCCACAGACACCCCAGCAGAGTTACTGGCGGCACAGCAGGGGGTCGGGCTGTGACCCTCTTGGACATCTTGGTCACATCTTCTGCGCCACCTGACCTGCTCCGCGCTCCGGTGGCACCGACATCACAGAAGGCGGGGGCCGGGACAGGGCTGTCTCCCACGTGTCCCTCTCCAGAGACTCTGCATCCACGTCCTCGCTCTGTCCTCTGCCAGGACAGTGCTTTATCGCCCGCCATCACCACCTCCCTCCAGTCACCAGACCTCGCGGCTGTAATGACAAATGCATCTCCTCTCAGTTCTGCAGGGACCCAAGTCTCTGCAAACCTTTTATTTTTAGATCAGGAAACTGAGTTTGTGAAATGACTCACTAGCTAGTAGGAAGTGGGCGACAGGGCAACAGCTCCTGTTGCGAAGGTGCTGGGACAGAGCATCATTGCTAAATCTAGCCCAACAGGAAACCGATTACATGCTTCTGTTTTACACTGTATCTTATAATTAAATATTTCTAATAGCGAGGGACCAGAGAAAATACCAGAAAATGTTGTTCTTTGGGAAAAAAATGCTTTTTTACCTTTTTTTCCCCCACTAGGAGAAAAAAGGCCTGGGGCACATAGCCTATAACCTCATTAGGGAGGCTGAAGCAGGAGGATCACCAGGGCAGCCAGGGCTACACAATGAGCTCAAGGCCAGCTTGAACTACATACCAAGAGCCTGTCTTAAAAAACAAACATCAACAAGGAAAACAAAAATGAAAGGCCCATTCTAGGAGGTAGCTGGAGGAGAATCCAGAGACAGAAAGTAGAAAAGCGAGTTACAGTGAGGGTTAGGGTTGGGGGAAGGTGGAGAGTTAATGGGGACAGTTTCAGTTTCACAAGACACAAACAGTTTTTGAGGTGGGTGGTGGTGACAGTTGCACAACAATGGGAATGAATTTAACATTACTGATGCGTACCCTTAAAAATAGTGTTAGCAGGGGTGGGGGTGGCACAGGCCTCAGATCCCAGCACTGGGGAAGCTGAGGCAGGAAGATTGCTGAGAGTTCAAAGCCAGCCTGAACTACATAGCCAGACTGTCTCACAGAAATATACAATATAAATAATAAATACAAAAATATAACAAAAATAAATAAACATAATAACACACAAAAAAAGGCTGGAGGTGTACCTCAGCGGTAGTATTTACTTAGCAATAAGCTGGCACCACACACAAAAAAATCACTATTATGTTGTAAGTAGCCACATTTAAAAAACAGAAAGACATGCAGACAGGTTCTGTGCCTCCCGAGAAATTCCTGCGCTGGCGCTGGCGTCCTCCAGGCCAAGGGTCACCGCCTGCGGAGGCCCCGCGTGGACAGGGACAGACATCCGGGGCTTTGCTCCTGCGCCGCGCCGACGCCCTCGGTGACCTTTTATGGCCACATAACCGGTGACAGAGCAGGCCCAGCCCTGCCCAGCTTCGGACTTCACCCCTTCTCTTGGGGACCCCGCTCCCGAGCGGGTCTTTGCCAACTCCGAGAGGGGACTCGGGCCACAGGCGGGGTGACCTTGGAGGAGGGGCAGGCAGGGGCCGCGGGACACCGCCCCGCCTGTCGCCACGGTTCCCGGGCCATCTAGAAAGGACGGAGCCTGGAAAAAGGAACGGATAGGAGCCGGTGACTCAGGCGCTGTCCTTGTCGCATTCCAGGTCAGGGTTCAGGCTTCAGGATCAGACCCGCGTGGGCCAACCCCAGTCCTCGGAGGGCGGCTCTGGGGACACCGTGGGTCACGGAAGTCCACGTGGGGGTTGGGGTGTCCACTGCGGAGTGTTCACCAGTGCTCTCGGCCTCTGTCGCCTCTGTCATTACACCACCGCCCGCCTGCCCCCCACAGCTGCCACAACCGGGAATCCTGTCCGCTTGGGCCCTGCGTAGCGGTGTGGGGCTGTACTCCCTGAACTCAGGAGGCTGAAGCGGGAGGATCACAAAGCCAGCCTTGTGCGTTTGGCTGCCCCTCCCCCACCCCTGGATCAGCCCACCAGGCGCCTCTGGACTCAGAACAGCTCCAGTCTAAGAGCTGTGACTCAGCCCTTGAAGAACAGTCACGAGGCCTCCTCAGCAGTTCGGCAAGCAGGGTGTGGCTGTAGGCCAAGGTGCCACCTTCCCACCAGCCCCAGCTTTGGTTTCTTTAGAGCTCCTACCTGCAATCACAGAGCTCTGCCTGGGAAAGTGCAGGGTCTCATCCACCCTGTTAAATGACATTTAATTCTTATTTCTCAGTTACACATGAATTCATTTCACTCTCCTTGGAAAAATAATGGAGCTAAATCCCCAGCCCTATGTATTTATTCTTATGTTTTGGGTTTTTTGTTTTGTTTTTTTGAGACAGGGTCTTGCTGTGTACCCCAGGCTGGCTTCAAACTCACAGGGATCTTCCTGCCTCAGCCTCCCAAGTGCTGGGATTACAGGCATGCACTACCAAGCCCAGCTCACATTTTAAATGTAACGTTTAAATAATATAATATTCATAACTTAGAAGAATGTAGTCATTTCTTAACAGCAGAATATTTTCAGTTAGCTTCTTTTTTCTTGAAAGCTTTACAGGTGGAAATTCAAATACCCCTCCCCCTTTTGTAGAACGGAGATATTTCTAGAAGAGTCTAGAAAGAAAAGTAACCGGAATTAAGAGCCTTAGGGAGATCTGTCCCTGTAAACGAAGTCTATTTTGGCCCATGCCTATAGTCCCAGCATTTGGGAGGCCAACGCAGGAAAAGTGCTGTGAGTTGGAGGCCCTGTTTCAAAAAACAAAGGAAAAACAAACCCCCAAATATATCTTTCCAGAAATATGCAGATCTGAGATTCAATTCCTGTGTTTTAAAGTCTCATGTTTCCCCATACAGAAATGCTGTTTGATAAGACAGGATTAACACGGCTTAAAGGTTACACAACACACACATGTATGAGATATCACATGGCTCCCCACAAACGTGGCCAATTTGTTTTTATGTCTCAGTTAAATTTCTCTATGCGTGGTATCATTATGTATGCCAGAAATGCACCAATAAACGTTTTGCTATAAAAATATTTTCTTCCAAAAGAAATATAAAATTAATTTCTGGCCTGGGCATAACTTAAAGGTAGAGATAACAATTTAAATTTTTTAAAAAAATCTAAGGCTTTAGAGAGCTTCAATATCTGAGCTAAAGATGAAGAGGAGTTTAGGTTCAAGGTCTCCTGCTTGTCAACCAAGTGTGGCCCTCTGTGGGCCAGGCCCGGGGACACCAGGAAGATGAGGCAGGCCTCGCAAGACCCAGCCTCAGCTCTCGCCTGGATCCCAGGCTTTCAGAACGCTGAAGTGACTTTCCTCGTTCCTTTTCCAACTTCAACCTCAGCAAGGGCTCCTTGCTCCCGGAGCTGTCTCCCCTCCCTCGCTGGGGGCCGCCACTGCTCCTGGACCCAGGTCTAGGGTGGCCCAGGCCGCCGGCAGCCCCGCCCAGCCTGATTTGCGCAGTCATCCTGCCTGTCAACCTGCCCGGGCG